TTCAGTAACATTTTGACTGCTGAAGCTGGATTGAAAAGTAGATGTTTATTATACAAGCATGTAGCTAGACCTTCATGCAGGGAGAGCAGAACAATACATGGTGTTGGATTCAAAGTAATGCTCTGTCTAACTAGGGCCCTCTAATACAATTTATATGCTTTTCCAATGGGTGGTACCTGACTATCTGGTCTGTCAAGAGCCATCTGTGTTTTTGGAGAAACTTTTGAGGTGTGATTATTTGTCCACATGTAAATGTCCATCAAGTTTGACAGGTCCTCAAAGGCTGTGACAACAATCTTGTAGTCAATAGGTGGTGAGAATGCTGTGGAACTGGAAGCAGGAGTGAAGTGCCAGATGTTGAGCCAACAGGAGAGGGCATGAGGTGTGAAACTGGTTTTTTTCTCATACAGTCCAGAAAAATAAATAGGTTGTTAGGCCATCTAATTCAATACCAATGTATTTCATATTTATATCTAAAATGGCTGCTCCATTTTTCCTTACACTTCCAACCCAAGCTCAGACATTCCTCACACTTATGAAATATTCTCCATCTTTAAACACTGTTCAGGATTACGTATACATTTTTCAAGAAGTGAAATCCTCCCTCTTTATCATGCTCGGCCTCCCACCTGGATGCTGAACTCAATTTTCGCCTTAGCCAAGGACCACATAACATACTTGGGCATCAAGATAGGGAAACTTCCTTCCTCACTATATCACTTAAACTTTACAACAGTAATAGGCAAAGTCATGGGAGAGTTAGACATGTGGAGGGCCTTGCCTCTATCACCGGGAGATCTCATTTGTTTAAGATGGTCAGTTTCCCCAAGCTTCTCTATCCCCTCCAAAAGATACCCTTTCTGTTACGTCATGGAGACATCTTGAAACTGAACAGGGCGATATCCAATTTCCTAAGGCAGGGATGTCGTCCCCGTATAGCTTTACACAAGCTCATTCTCCCGAGGAGTTAGGGGGGATCGGAACTGACCAACGTCAGAGTCTGCAAACTTTCATGTTTACTAAGAGTATGTCTGGACTGGCTGGTCTGGGTGTCTAGATATTCTAACTATGATCTGGAGACTGATATGGTACACCTATATAGCTTACAGGCACTGCTCCATTGCAATGTCAGTTCTCTCCCTCCTCATCTAAAACATAATTTATTGGTACAGGACACATTGATAGATTGGAGAGAAACCAGACGCAAGCTAGAAGTGTCCCCATGGATTTCCCGGTATCTTACGATACATAAAAATCCCTCCTTTCCTCAGTCACAGCAATACGCGGCCTACGCTACGTGGATGTCCCATGGCCTTGAAAATTGTGTGCAATTTTTTGATGTATCCTCTGGTTCTCTGTTGCCTTTCTCACAAATCATGTCACAGAATAATCTACCCTCTCACCACTTCATCTACGTTCTCCAAGTTATGAACTTTGTTAAACACCTTGCCCCGGATAAATCTCAGATTCCGTACCTCATTAATCGATACTCTTCTGTCATGCCGGCAATTTAAGATATCAGATGTCTACTCCACTTAACTTACATTTTAGCAAGCCTCTGGAATCCACGTCCACGACTTCTTGGGTGTAGGACTTCCAGAATGCATTCACAGTGGATCAAATAATTGCAGGTCTAAATAACACCTGCTCGTTTGTATTGAGCAAATTCTGGCAAGAACAGCTTAAAATTGTACATCGGGCATATAGGCCTTACAGTTTCCCCAAGTCCAACCAAATCTGTCCACTTTGTAACCTCAACAAGCCTTCTCTCCTGCATAGGTTATGGTCATGCTCTGCCATATCTATGTTCTGGTCCCAAGTGGAAAACTTAGTCGAGACGAATATAGGTCTCCAGCCATCTCAGAACCCTCTTCATCTCATTTTCAGGAACCTGGACTACTCCACTGACCAGTCTTTTAGTCGACAATTTGCACTTACCCAAAGGCACAAATCATGGTTGACAAGCTGCCTCATGTCTGCCAGGAGATCCATTCTAAAGAAATGGACTTCATCACACCCACCAACTATAGCAGATATAAAACAGGATCTAAACAGCTTTCTTCATAAAGAAAAACTGGATCTTCAGGTCTCTGGCTCTTGCTCTAAAGATACCTTCAAGCGTAAATGGCAAAAATATATAGTCAGAACCTTTCCCACCTCCGACCATTCCGACCTTCTGACATGATAAAAAAATAGTCTGCTCTATCATTTAAATGCCTTAGGCCTGGTTGTTAGACATAGGGCTACTGTACATAGGGTGTCCATATGGCTGTCTCATACCGCTTCCCTGAGTTTGTGTTTGCTACACGCTTACTCGGTCTGATACAATATGGTCTTAATGATGTGATAATGCTATGTATATGTATAAAAAACGTGCAGCGCTAAAAAATATTAGGATCAAATAAAAAGGTACCAGTAAATAAGAAGAGGATAAAATCATGAGAAATGTTCATAAAGTGACTAAAGGTGCTCATTGGAATCCTGCGTTCTCCTTAAATCGGTGCTTGTGCAATCAGGTATAGAAGAAATGCGCACTCACCGGACCGCATAATAAAATACACGTTTGTATAATAAATCCTGATGTCATCAAGGTCATCTGAGATAGGACAGAAATGGGGTTGAATCCCTCACAGGGTGTATGGATCCTGGGACTTTAACTGATGATCAGGAGGATACCAGAGTTCCCCTTAAGGGATGGATGGGTGCAGCTCACAAGGTGTACAGGAGGCTCCCTCTCTGGAAACTGGATACTGGGTTGTCTGAAAAATCAATGCTCCCCCCAGGGGAGTTAAAGCAGAGATGTACCCCTAGTGTAGTAATTAATGGTAATTTAATTGAATGTATAAAAGCATCCAGGTAAAACATCAAAGTAAAAGCATCCAGGTAAATCATCAAAGTAAAAGCATCCAGGTAAATCATCAAAGTAAAAGCATCCAGGTAAATGTAATCAATAGCTTTGTGAAAATATCCAATAGGACTAACCGTCCTCACTCAAATATGGCCGCCGGAGCTCCGGCGACGTGACGTCACGGCATTATTGGCTCCCTCTTACGCGTTTCGTACACTCGCACATCGTCTGAGGGGAACACCAATAACGCCAAGCCGTGCGCCGTCAGTATATATAGATGATGGCGCATGCGCATTCCGCAGGCACCATCTTTAGAGAAACCAGACTTAGTGCCATTTTTCCATGGATCTTTATCGGTGATAGTACAATGTAATGACAGCTGTGAGTGTCAGCAATAATATTCCAGGGAAAGAATAAAAAACAGTCATATTTAAGAACAGGGTCAAAGTTTCAATGCTAATATAGATATTAAAAGGTAATAAAAGATAAGAAAAACCCCAATAAAGAAGGATATAGATTATGTGTCCCAATGCGTTTATGTTCCACGGAAAAAAACACACAGTCTCTTCACATATAGAAAAATACAGTTAGTCAACAGATAATAATGTGCCCTAATAAAAGTCATACTGATATTAAAAGTCATAAATATCTAGCATATGAGACACAAAATGTATAGAACAATTAATATATAATTCTGAGGTAGTGATAAAACATAATGCATAATAAAAAAAATATATATATATACTGTAAATACATTTAACATAAATAAATAAAAGTTATTTGAGGTTTATCTGGTTACCTTGGTGCATAGCGGCTGACCTTTTATATGTGCGCTCGCATATGCCTACTACTTAATGCTATGTATATGATTTTGGTCCCTCCTCTCGGGAAAAGCTTTGATGTTCTTCTAGTCATTCCCGAGTACAAACTGTCTGAGGTTCCGGTCTCTAGATCTTTCTACTTGCCTTCTTAATCTTTCCTTTCTCTTACTTCTCTATCTTTTCTTTAATATCATTCTCACCTTCCCCCCATCTCTGTTTGAATCATTTATTGCCTCGATTCTCATTTGATTGTTTGCATTTTATTCCTTCTATTGTAACAGTTATAAGATGTTTATACTGATGTCATATCTATGCAAGCATACTTTGGAATTGACAAAAATCCAATAAATATTTCTTTAAAAAAAAAAAGAAAAAAAGAAGTATATGTCTGATTGTGATGAGGGGACCCAAAAGACTGTCACTGATGGGCTGGTATCTTTATTACAAATGGGATTCCATTTATGTTGAAGATTCCTTCAAGACTGGATCTGGTGGGCTGGTAATCCTATTAAGTAGTTAGGTAAGACATATCTGCTTGTGATGAGGATTCCACCAAAACTGGCTCTGGTGGGCTGGTATCTTTATGAGTAAAGGGATGTCCACAGGTGATGAGGATTCCACCAAAACTGGCTCTGGTGGGCTGGTATCTTTATGAGTAAAGGGATGTCCACAGGTGATGAGGATTCCACCAAAACTGGCTCTGGTGGGCTGGTATCTTTATGAGTAAAGGAATGTCCACAGGTGATGAGGATTCCACCAAAACTGGCTCTGGTGGGCTGGTATCTTTATGAGTAAAGGGATGTCCACAGGTGATGAGGATTCCACCAAAACTGGCTCTGGTGGGCTGGTATCTTTATGAGTAAAGGGATGTCCACAGGTGATGAGGATTCCACCAAAACTGGCTCTGGTGGGCTGGTATCTTTATGAGTAAAGGGATGTCCACAGGTGATGAGGATTCCACCAAAACTGGCTCTGGTGGGCTGGTATCTCTATTAGGATCGCAATGCCTGCTTGTGATGAAAATTATTTCAATACTGGCTCTGGTGGGCTGGCATCTCTATGAGGAATGGGATGTCCACAGGTCATGAAGATTCCACCAAAACTGGCTCTGGTGGGCTGATATCTCTGTTAAGAATTAAATGTCCGCTTATGATGAGAGGTCCTCCAAAGGACCATCATTGAGTAACTTCAGGGATGGCATCTGTTACTGGAGATTAAGATTTTCCAACATGGTACTGAGTGGGGTTTTGTATTTTCTGGCCACTCAGCATGTGCACCTGTAGTCATGACATGAAAAACCCGGTTCACATCACGAAACGTCAACATCTGCCTAGTCTCTGCTTGGACGGGTTGCCACTTGTCTCCGTTTGTTCTGAATCATGCAATCCTGTAGTAGACACAAGCACAATTCCAGTCATTATGTGAGGTTCATCCAATACAAAGAAATAAAGATAGAATAGGTAGGCACTATATATATATATATAAGGATTGCAATGCCTGCTTGTGATGAAGATCATTTCAATACTGTCTCTGGTGGGCTGGTATCTCTATGAGGAATGGGATGTCCAAAGGTGATGAGGATTCCACCAAAACTGGCTCTGGTGGGCTGATATCTCCATTAGGATCGCAATGCCTGCTTGTGATGAAGATTATTTCAATACTGGCTATATATATATATATATATACCAAAATCATAATACAGTACAATAATCCCTATAACTAATCACTCTATATAGTGTAAAGCCCCCAAAACTTTGGCCAACTGTAGTGACCCCAGACAAATCTTGTCTCAGTGTTGTTCTATTCTAAGTGAAGCTGCCCCTAATTAAGTGTGATTAACACTTACAACATACAAATAAAATATAAATAGCTAGGCGCTACATTTGCCCAAACAATAAACTTCATAGAGTGCAATAAGTACAAGATTAGTACCACCTGAGGGTTATCTCAATTTTTGTCCATGCCAAAACTTTAGCCTACAGGATCTGGTATTCCCAGGTGGTCCCCCATCCAGGTACTGCTTAAGTCTGACCCTGCTTGGCTTCGAAGATCAGATAAGAGTGTTCATAACCGTGAAGTGTAGAGGACTCACTCACCAGATCCTTTGGCCCCCCAGTTATAATGGTCAAATGCGCCTTTGGTTATATAGGGAACCACCCTTTCTTGTTGGATTCTCCATTTTCTCTCTCTAAATCTCCATGGGTTATAGCCAGATATAAGGGATTCCAATAGATTTTCCAGTAATATACTTTGAGTTGGTTTTAGATATTCCTCCCATGGGAATGCAGCCGGCCAATGAATGAATCCGACAATGTTTCCACCACCATGTTTCACAGTTGGGATGGTGTTCTTGGGGTCATAGGCAGCATTCCTCCTCCTCCAAACACAGCGAGTTGAGTTGATGCCAAAGAGCTGGATTTTGGTCTCCTCTGACCACAACACTTCCCACCAGTCCTCCTCTGCATCATTCAGATGTTCAGTGGCAGACTTCATCCGGGCCTGGACATGTGCTTTCTTGAGCAGAGGGACCTTGCGGGCACTGCAGGATTTCAGTCCTTGTCGGCGTAGTGTGTTACCAATTGTTTTCTTGGTGACTGTGGTCCCAGCTGCCTGAAGATCATTGACAAGATCCTCACGTGTAGTTCTGGGATGATTCCTCACTGTTCTCATGATCATTGACACTCCACGAGGTGAGATCTTGCATGGTGCACCAGACCTAGGGAGACTGACACTTGTTTTGTGTTTCTTCCATTTGCGAATGATTGCACCAACTGTTGTCACCTTCTCACCAAGCTGCTTGGCCATAGTTTGGTAGCCCAGTCCAGCCTTGTGTAGGTCTACCATCTTGTCCCTGACATCCTTGGACAGCTCTTTGGTCTTTGCCTTGGTGGAGAGTTTGGAATCTGATGGTTTGATTGCTCCTGTGGACAGGTGTCTTTTATACAGGTAACACAATGAGATTAGCAGAACTCCCTTTAAGAGACTGCTTCTAATCTCAGCTTGTTACCTGTATGAGAGACACCTGGGAGCCAGAAATCCTGCTGAATGATAGGGGATCAAATCCTTCTTTCCCTCATGAACATGCAGATCCGTCATCATTTGTTAGACGCATTTCTGCTGAATTTGTTGTTGTATTCTGTCTCTCAGTGTTACACCGAACATTCCATTGTTAGACCGATCAATTCTTTGTGAGGGGCGAACATTCCATTGTTAGACCGATCAATTCTTTGTGAGGGGCGAACATTCCATTGTTAGACCGATCGTTTCTGTGTGAGGGGCGAACATTCCATTGTTAGACCGATCATTTCTGTGTGAGGGGCGAACATTCACCATCAGCAGGGGAGCAAATACGCATTTCCTGCACTGTATGTTTTTAAAGGCGGCTGCTTTGCACTTCAAGCCTCGCTTGCACTTAGCTATTCCTGGACCCGGAAGTGACGTAATTACACTTTCTGGGCGAACTTGTCTGATTCATTCATTGGCCGCCTGCATTCCCCTGGGAGGAATATCTAAAACCTAAAGTATATTACTGGAAAACCTATTGGAACCCCTTATATCTGGCTACAATCCATGGAGATCTAGAGGGAGAAAAATGGAGAATCCAACAAGAAAGGGTGGCTCCCTATATAATCAAAGGCGCATTTCACCACCATAACTGGGGCCAAAGGATCTGGTGAGGGAGTCATCTACACTTCACGGTTATGAACACGCAGTGAAGATCAGTCACATTTATTTTTTATATATTTTTATATTTTTTTCTTTTTCTATTTTTTTGTGGGATTTATTTTTTTTTTTACCCTCTTTGGAATTTTTTATTACTCTATTTTGGGACAGTTACAAGAGTTGTCGTTATATTCATGGTTTTATTATTTACTTCACATGTTCACTATTGGTTGAATTACTACACGGAGGGGTTACAATATCTTTTTGGTCTAAGCGCACTTAGCTGCCCACGGCCACATCACCCTGAATGCGCCCGATCTTGTCTCATCCAATACAAAGCCCTCATATGGTAGCAGAGAATGAACTGGCCATTAACACCTTGTTTGTACATCTTGTGTGTGTGATGACGTCCCTTTCTATATGAAGAATGCCATTGACCTGAATGACCTTACTAAACTTGGCAGCAAACATGTGCAAATGTCAGCATGTATATCTAGGGCGGGAGTACAGACAAAAATAATGACTTTCTAAAAGATGGAACATAGGCACCCCCCCTCCCCAATATCTCACAGCACTGCCTGGGTCTCTCAGATCGGTAATAGAGGGCTCAGCCAAAACTGCCAAAATAATTTTTCAGGATACAAAGAAAACCCCACAAAACGTGGGGGTTGTTTTGAAGGAGCACAATACGATGAAACTTGAACAAAAATAAGCTGCATGGTCGAGTTGCCAAAAAAGCCTTTACTGGCACAATGCCACAATAAAGCCTGGAGAGGTGTGTCAAGGTGTTGTCTGGCATATTGTAACCGGGCTTTTTTGTGGCATTGGCATAGTAAAGGCTTTTGTTTGGCAACTTGACCATGCAGCTAATTTTTTGTTCAAGTATTGTTGTACTGTGCTCCTGAAAAAAAAACAATCACACCGTCTTTCCTGAGCAGCCTGTGTTTCTCCTGAGGTTACCTGTGGGGTGTTTCTTTGTATCCCGAACAATTCTTCTGGCAGTTGTGGCTGCAATCTTTCATTGTCTACCTGACCTTGGCTTGGTGTCAAGAGGTCCCCAAACTATCCACTTAATAAGTGATTGAACAGTACTGACTGGAATATTTGAGGCTTTGGATATCTTTTTTAATATCCTTTCCCATCCTTATAAAGTTCCATTACCTTGTTACGCAGGTCTTCTGACATGTCTTTTCTGCTCCCCATGCCTCAGTATCTAGCCTGCTCAGTGCATCCACGTGAGACCTAACATACTCACTGACTACTTATACACTGACACTAATTGCAATTTAAAAAGCCACAGATGTGGAGAAACAAACCTTTAATTGCCATTGTACCCTGCGCGTGTCACCTTGTGTGTCTGTACCAAGGCCAAACATTCCGGGGGGAGGGAAACTATTGATCTGGGCCATTTTGGGGATTTCTGTTATCATTAGGATTTAAAAAGCAGCCGAACAACGATGTGATAATAAATGGCTTCGTACCATCACTATCCTTAAATAAAAGATGTTTTTTTTGGCATGATCAGTCAGATTTTCAATATCAATGCCAAAATGTCAGCATTTCTGCCAGGGGAGGGAGACTTTTGAGCACAACTTTACTGTGCTTCATTTTACAGTGTAGGTCCCTACCCTTTGGAGCTCAGAGAGTAACCGGGCTACCAGACATTCGTCTACCATATAATAATGAACTCATAATGTGCGACATATTATACTGTGTATTTAAGGTATTTTAATTTGTTGTTGTTTGGAATAGTCTAGTCCAAATAACGGCGTCACAGTGGCTTAATGGTTAGTACATCTGCCTTGTAGTAAATGGGTCATGGGTTCGATTCCCGACCATGGCGCCTCCTACACGGAGATTGCATGTTCTCCCTGTGCTTGCGTGGGTTTTCTCCCACACTCCAAAGACATGCTGGTAGGTTAATTGGCTCCTGTCTAAATTGTCCTAGTTTCATCCCTGGCCATGTGGGATCTCCTGCATAGTGGGGGTTGGGGAAAGACCTGGCAACCTACCCTGTAAAAATAATTGCTAAGAGAATTCATGAAAAAAGTTGCGTATGAGTGACGGTCCGTGCAATCGCCAAGGGTCGGATATGACTGAATAGATAGATCAAGTCTAAATAAGGGCAAAAACACACATTGATTTTATCATTGGCACCTTGTCTATTAGCCACTCATTTTCTGACCCCTGGTCAGTGATGGTCAGCAGGAGACCCATGTTCTGGAAGGGAGTACAGATGGCCAGAAAACCAGTGTTCCGTAAAGAGGAAGGATGTAGTAGGATGGGAAAGAGATCTGTCTTATGAAAGAGCTAGTGGGAGGGCAAGTGAACCGTCTTTTGGAAGGGAGATTGAGAGAGTCTAAGGTGCATGTTCTGGATGAAGCAGTGGAAGGATAGGCAACCAGTATTCTGGAGGGTGAGGTGAATGTGCAAGATAACCATGTTCTTTGCAGCAGAGTGGATGGGAAGGAGACAAATATCTTGGAAGGATCCTTGAGGGCACAGAAGATCCTTTTTCAGGAAGGTAGGAAGGATGGGCAGGAGATTCATGGTGTGGAAGGAACAGTAGGAGGAGGACAAGCAGCCCTTGCTCAGGAGGGGACAGTGTGTGTGTTTGTGTGGAGGGGGGGGGGGAGTTCTAGAGAACTGTGTTCTGGGTGGAATATTTGGAAGCTAAGAGATTGTGTAATGAACAGTCAGTGGTAGAGCATGGGAACCATGTTCACAAAGTGTCAGAAGGTAGTGTAGATGAACTCTCCATTTATGAGTGAACTAGTAGCATACAGAAGCCATTGACTACAGGCCTAAGTATTGCTCATTCTGTTACTGTAAAGGTACGCAACTGCTTATGTGTCTACAACAAATTAGCTGAAACTTTTGGCTATTTTAGTGTGTATGGTGTGGTAAAGTAAACTTCACTCCAAATATCAAAAATGGTAATGGTTGAACTGGGATGGACATTTGTCTTTTTTTCAGCCAGACTAACTGTAATGTAACTATGTAACTATATCAAGAATGAGCAGGGAAAAAACACGGGTTGTCCTTGGCACAATTAGTTATAGTTTTGCAGATCCCTTTAACCTCTTGCCGACCGCGCATAGCCGAATGACGGCTTCACCGCGGCCGGCCAGTTCTGAGTGGACGTCATATGACGTCCTCCCAGAACGCGCTCTCCTGCGCGCCCCAGGGGGCGCGCACCCGGCGTTCTCCGTGATCGCTGTGTCCTACGGACACAGCTGATCACGTGATGTGGTGAAAGGCCGATCCCACCGGCCTTTTACCACGTGATCAGCGGTGTCCAATGACACGCTGATCACAGGGAAAGGCAAGTGCCGGTTCTCGGCTGCACTTTCCTCACGCTGTCAGATCGTGAGGAAAGTACTGCCAAGAACCGGCAGTTGTCAGAGCGGGGGATCGGCACGATCATCAGGGCACTGATGATCAGTGCCCTGATAATCGGTGCCCAGCAGTGACACCCGCAAGTTCCGCCCAGCAGTGCGCCCACTAGCCCGCCCACCCGTTCCCAGCAGTGCCCCCACCTGTGCCCAGCAGTGCCCCCCACCTGTGCCCAGCAGTGCACCCACCTGTGCCACTCTGCAGTGCCACCTACCTGTGCCCAGAAGTGCCACCTACATGTGCCCAGCAGTGCCACCCACCTGTGCCCACCCACCAGTGCCACCCACCTGTGCCCACCAGTGCCACCCACCTGTGCCCACCCACCAGTGCTGCCCACCAGTGCCACCCACCAGTGCAGCCCCAGCAGTGCTGCCAGTCAGTGCCACCAGTCAGTGCCCAGGGGTTGTGCCAGTCAGTGCCGCCAGTCAGTGCCCAGAAGTGATGCCAGTCAGTGCCGTCTATCAGTACCCATCATCAGTGTCACCTATCAGTGCCGCCTATCAGTGCTGCATATCAGTGCCGCCTATCCGTGACCAATAAATTAGTGCTGTCTATCAGTGCCGCCTATCCGTGCCACCTCATTAGTACTGCCTATCAGTGCCCTTTAGTGCTGCCTATCAGTGCCCATCAGTGCCGCCTATCAGTGCCCATCAGTGCCGTCTCATCAACGCAAATCAGTGAAGGAGAAAAAATACCTGTTTGAAAAATTTTATAAAAGAAACAAAATAAACTTTTTTTTTTTTTCAAATTTTTTGCAATTTTTTTAATTTATAGCGCAAAAAGTAAAGCGCCCAGTGGCGATTAAATACCCCAAAAGAAAGCTCTTTGTGTGAAAAAAAAATGATCAAAATTTCATATGGGTACAATGTTGCATGACCGCGCAATTGTCAATCAAAGTGCGGCAGCGCTGAAAGCTGAAAATTGGCTTGGTAAGGAAGGGGGTATAAGTGCCTGGTAGGCAAGTGGTTAAGGCATATCAAGTGGTAGATGACCAATCCAGTAGCCACTCATCTCCTTTTCAACACCACTTGCCATATTTATTAAACAAACACATTATCTCAGCTACATTTACCTCACTTATTGAATAATGGTGATCCAGAGTATCATCCCAAGGAGCGTCATTGGACCCATCACCACTCTCACATTCCATGCAATACATCGGAGGACAGAGGAATAACATGTTCATACATTAGTATTTGTCCTCTTCAGCTGATACAGTGAATGGAACAGAGCTGTAAAGAGAAGAATAGTGATGTCCTTACCAGGTAGAAGAAGCAGGAGGGCCAGTATCATAGCTTTCATCGTCACCTCCAGGTCCATTGGAAATGTGACCGTGTATTGGCTTCCCTCACTTGTTATCATCCCCACCACATGCTGTTCATCTGGAGATTTCACCTTTCAGGAAAAGAGTCACAGAGATGTCAGAGAAAGAAATCCCAGCAGATAAAAAAAATACAAAAAAATAAGGACTATCAGAAAAAATACCCATCTAAAAAATAGCCAACAATAACTGTTATTTTTTATCTCTAAATTCCAATGTTTTATGCAATAGCCTGAGATGATTTCATTTTGGGAAACACTAGATGAAGAGAAGGAGATGGCGGTGGATGGAGGTGATGACAGTCGGGTACACTAGATACAATATGGAAGGAGATGGTGGTGGATGGAGGTGATGACAGTTGGGTACACTAGATACAATATGGAAGGAGATGGTGGTGGATGAAGGTGATGATGCAGTTGGGTACACTAGATACAATAGGGAAGGAGATGGCGGTGGATGGAGGTGATGACAGTCGGGTACACTAGATACAATAGGGAAGGAGGATGGCGGTGGATGGAGGTGATGACAGTCGGGTACACTAGATACAATAGGGAAGGAGGATGGCAGTGGATGGAGGTGATGACAGTTGGGTACACTAGATACAATAGGGAAGGAGATGGCGGTGGATGGAGGTGATGACAGTCGGGTACACTAGATACAATAGGGAAGGAGATGGCGGTGGATGGAGGTGATGACAGTCGGGGTACACTAGATACAATAGGGAAGGAGATGGCAGTGGATGGAGGTGATGACAGTTGGGTACACTAGATACAATTGGGAAGGAGATGGAGGTGATGACAGTTGCGTACACTAGATACAATTGGGAAGGTGATGGCAGTGGACAGAGATGAGGACAGTTGGGTAAATTAGACACAATATGGAAGGAGATGTCAGTGGATGGAGGTGATGACAGTTGGGTACACTAGATACAATATGGAAGGAGATGGCAGTGGACAGAGATGAGGACAGTTGGGTAAATTAGACACAATATGGGAAGGAGATGTCAGTGGATGGAGGTGATGACAGTTGGGTACACTAGATACAATAGGGGGAAGGGATGGCAGTGGATGGAGGTGATGACAGTTGGGTACACTAGATACAATATGGAAGGAGATGGGCGGTGGATGGAGGGTGATGACAGTCGGGTACACTAGATACAATATGGAAGGAGATGGCGGTGGATGGAGGTGATGACAGTCGGGTACACTAGATACAATATGGAAGGAGATGGCGGTGGATGGAGGTGATGACAGTCAGGTACACTAGATACAAATAGGGAAGGAGATGGCAGTGGATGGAGGTGATGACAGTTGGTTACACTAGATACAATATGGGAAGGAGATGGCAGTGGATGTAGGTGATGACAGTTGGGTACACTAGATACAATAGGGAAGGAGATGGCGGTGGATGGAGGTGATGACAGTTGGTTACACTAGATTCAATAGGGAAGGAGATGGCAGTGGATGGAGGTGATGACAGTTGGTTACACTAGATACAATATGGAAGGAGATGGCAGTGGATGGAGGTGATGACAGTTGGGTACACTAGATACAATAGGGAAGGAGATGGCGGTGGATGGAGGAGTGATGACAGTTGGGTACACTAGAAACAGTAGGGAAGGAGATGGCGGTGGATGGAGGTGATGACAGTTGGGTACACTAGATACAATAGGGAAGGAGATGGCAGTGGATGAAGGTGATGACAGTTGGGTACACTAGATACAATAGGGAAGGAGATGGCGGTGGATGGAGGTGATGACAGTCGGGTACACTAGATACAATAGGGAAGGGAGATGGCGGTGGATGGAGGTGATGACAGTCGTGAGGGTACACTAGATACAATAGGGAAGGAGGATGAGGGCGACTAGTTGGGGTGGATGGAGGTGATGGACGGTGATGACAGTTGGGTACACTAGATACAATTGGGAAGGAGTATGGAGGTGATGACAGTTGAGTACACTAGATACAATTGGGAAGGAGATGGCAGTGGACAGAGATGAGGACAGTTGGGTAAATTAGACACAATATGGAAGGAGATGTCAGTGGATGGAGGTGATGACAGTTGGGTACACTAGATACACAATAGGGGATGGGAATGGCAGGAGTGGATGATGCAGTGGAAGGGATGGGGTAGTGGGTGATGACAGTTGGGTACACTAGATACAAAAAATATATGGAAGGAGATGGCAGTGGGACAGAGATGAGGACAGTCGGGTAAATTAGACACAATATATGGAAGGAAGAGTCAGTGGATGGAGGTGATGACAGTTGGGTTTACACTAGATTTACAATAGGGAAGGAGATGGCATGGCTTGGATGGAGGTGATGACAGTTGGGTACACTAGATACAATATGGAAGGAGATGGCGGTGGATGGAGGTGATGACAGTCGGGTACACTAGATACAATATGGAAGGATGGAGGGCATGGAGGGATGGACAGGTGATGACTAGTCAGAGGTACACTAGATACAATAGGGAGGAGGAAGGAGTATGGCAGTGGATGGAGGTGGATGACAGTTGGTACACTAGATACAATATATGGAAGGAGATGGCAGTGGATGGAGGTGATGGACAGTTGGGTACACTAGATACAATAGGAAGAGAGATGGCGGTGGATGGAGGTGATGACAGGTTGGTTACACTAGATTCAATAGGGAAGGAGATGGCAGTGGATGGAGGTGATGATGACAGTTGGGTACACTAGATACAATATGGAAGGAGATGGCAGTGGGTGGAGGTGATGACAGTTTGCGTACACTAGATACAATAGGGAAGGAGATGGCGGAGTGGATGGAGATGATGACAGTTGGGTACACTAGATACAATATGGGAATAGGTAGGATGGGAGAAGTTGTTAGATGTGATGGAAGAGAATGGTGGAGTGAGGTGATGACAGTTAGGAGTACACTAGATACAATTGGGAAGGAGATGGTGGTGGATGGAGACGATGATGACAGTTGGGTTACACTAGATACAATATGGAAGGAGAAGTTGTTGGATGGAGGTGATGACAGTCGAGGTGGAAATAGATACAATAGGGAAGGATGATGGCAGTGGATGGGGAGGTGGATGACAGTTGGGTACACTAGATACAATAGGAAAAAGGAGAAGTTGGCGTGGATGGGAGGTGATGACAGTTGAGTACACTAGATACAATAGGGAAGGAGAGATGGCGGTGGATGGAGGGATGACACAGTTGGAGTCTACACTAGATACAATATGGCATTGGAAGGAGATGGCGGTGGATGGAGGTGATGACAGTTGGGTAATACACTAGGTTACAACTAGGAGGACGTGATTGGATGATGGGTGGCATGGAGGTGATGACAGTTGGGTTACACAAGATACAATATGGAAGGAAATGGCAGTGGAAAGAGATGAGGACAGTTGGGTAAATTAGACACAATATGGAAGGAGATGTCAGTGGATGGAGGTGATGGATGACAGTTGGGTACACACTATGGGTATACAATTGGAAAGGACAATAAGGCGATGGCAGTGGACAGAGATGAGGACAGTTGGGTAAATTAGACACAATATGGAAGGAGATGTCAGTGGGATGGGAGGTGATGACAGTTGGGTACACTAGATACAATAGGGAAGGAGATGGCAGTGGATGGAGGTGATTGATAGTAGGGTACACTAGATACAATATGGAAGGAGATGGCGGTGGATGGAGGTGATGACAGTCGGGTACACTAGATACAATATAGGAAGGAGATGGCGGTGGAATGGAGGTGATGACAGTCAGGTACACTAGATACAATAGGGAAGGAGATGGCAGTGGATGGAGGTGATGACAGTTGGTTACACTAGATACAATATGGAAGGAGATGGCAGTGGATGTAGGTGATGACAGTTGGGTACACTAGATACAATAGGGAAGGAGATGGCGGTGGATGGAGGTGATGACAGTTGGTTACACTAGATTCAATAGGGAAGGAGATGGCGTGGATGGAGGTGATGACAGTTGGGTTACACTAGATACAATAGGGAAGGAGATGGCGGTGGATGAATGACTAGTGATGACAGTCGGGTACACTACATACAATAGGGAAGGAGATGGCAGTGGATGGATACAAGTGCTTGGGTGATGGACAGTTGGGTACACTAGATACAATAGGGAAGGAGATGGCGGTGGATGGAGGTGATGACAGTTGGGTACACTAGATACAATAGGGAAGAGATGGCGGTGGATGGAGGTGATGACAGTTGGGTACACTAGATACAGTAGGGGAAGGAGATGGCGGTGGATGGAGGTGATGACAGTTGCGTACACTAGATACAATAGGGAAGGAGATGGCGGTGGATGGAGATGATGATGACAGTTGTGGGTACACTAGATACAATATGGAAGGAGAAGTTGTTGGATGGAGGTGATGACAGTTGAGTACACTAGATACAATTGGGAAGGAGATGGTGGTGGATGGAGGAGAGTGATGACAGTTGGTTACACTAGATACAATATGGAAGGAGAAGTTGTTGGATGGAGGGTGATGACAGTGGGTACACTAGATACAATAGGGAAGGAGATGGCAGTGGATGGAGGTGATGACAGTTGGGTACACTAGATACAATATAAAAGGAGAAGTTGTTGGATGGAGGTGATGACAGTTTGAGTACACTAGATACAATATTGGGAAGGAGATGGCGGTGGATGGAGGTGATGACAGTTGGGTTACACTAGATACAATATGGAAGGAGATGGCGGTGGATGGAGGTGATGACAGTTGGGTACACTAGATACAATAGGGGAAGGATGATGGCGGTGGATGGAGGTGATGACAGTTGGGTACACTAGATACAATTGGGAAGGAGATGGCGGTGGATGGATGAGGTGATGACAGTTGGTTACACTAGATACAATAGGGAAGGAGATGGCAGTGGATGGAGGTGATGACAGTTGGTTACACTAGATACAATATGGAAGGAGATGGCAGTGGATAGTAGGTGATGACAGTTGGGTACACTAGATACAATAGGGAAGGAGATGGCGGTGGATGGAGGTGATGACAGTTGGTTACTCTAGATTCAATAGGGAAGGAGATGGCAGTTGATGGAGGTGATGACAGTT